CCATTAGAGAAATATTCTATCGATGCATTTTCGATGTTGAATAAGTTGCAATTCCCCAAGGATTTTCTCTACGAGGATTCTGAAATATCGCATTGTTACATCCGTACTGCGAGTATTATTACGACGCAGTATTGTCTACGAGAAAGCGATATAACGACTAGAAAATGTTGAGGAAAATTAATACGGCTCCCGGAAAGATTTCCCTCTTCTTTTTATACGTAGCAGGCCGCTTTCTCGCTACTGCCCATTATCTAGCCATCGTGTTCACAACATCGGAAACTCTTTTTCTCTCTCGCTTTTCTCTTTCTCTTTCTCCCTATTTTGTTACGGATGAATGTAATAGAGGTGGAGGAACAAACCACTGTTTTTGAGTGTGCAATGTACAGGAATTGTTTTCGGTAAAAAGCTCGAGAGAGAGAGAGAGAGAGAGAGAGAGAGAGAGAGAGAGAGAGAGAGAGAGAGAGAGAGAGAGAGAGAGAGAGAAGGAAAGAGAAACAGAAATGAATCCTCTGAGTCTTGTACGACATATGCATTGCGGTCATTGTTCACCATTATGTACAATAGGGCATAGAATAGTAGATTATATCACAGATTTATAACGCACTTTACGTAAATTAGCTTCAATTTTGCAGACTTCAAAGTGTCATCACCCGGTCACCGATAGTAGAGTTTCTAATAGAATTCAAACTTTAATTTTACGAAAATTTAACATAGCATCACTGTTTGTGATCCAATGTTACAAAATTCAATACTATGCAAATTTGTATGCAACAATTTACAAAAAGTAAATCACGGTTAAAAAATCTCTACTATATATATATTTTTTGAAGAATAAACTTCTTTTTTAAATATTATAAGATTTATTTTTAATTGGAAAATAATCAAATCAAAATAATTGCAATTTTAAATTATCGATAAAGTTTTAAAAAAATTTACAATTTTACAATAGTCAAGTAAAACAAATCCAGAATTAAACCAGCATTCTATTTCTAATATAAAACTAATTTTAAATATTAGATATAGAAAAATATACTTTAAAATTATTAGTCAATTAGAATTATTTTTTTTATATCTGTTTCTATTATTGTTTTCATATCTGTATATATTAAAATCTAATTATTTTTATATAAACTAGTTAGAGTTTTAATGTCGATTTTGAGGAGGATAAAGATATAACAGAAGCTATCATCTCTATGAAAATTGAATAAACGAGGATTAGTTTAGGTTAACCAAGATAAATCATATCTATGAAATGACCAACAGAGCAGTCACGATTAATATTTTCATCCTTTCATATATACGATACCCTCGCCTTGAGAGATGACAATACATATATAATGATGTATATTCAGACGTGTCTGTTATAAGTTTGGGAAGAAGTTTAATAATAAAATTAAACATCAATTGCATTTGTAACTATGCTTTAAGAAACTTATAAACTTACTGGCAAATATGGAACTCGTAATGGAATTCGAAAACAGAAATATCCGGTTTATGTTAAACATTTCAAAATTGCACGAAAACATTGCTACATAAAATATTCCAATATTTTATAACTCTTACTTTATAACTTATTATACTGTAATATAAATGGTTATATTGTTATGTCAAGTTTGACATTATTTAAAAGAATAATTGTAATTAAGGAAAATTAAAGAATTTTATGATATTTATATTATATATTATTAAGATATATTAAGATTTTATATTATAAGGTATAAAAATATCATACATATCTTCATGTTAAGTTTTACATATGTTATAATTTTACGATCTTTCTATATTAGTCTATATTATTTTATTTCATTTATTCAGTTAAGTATGTATCATTACTTAAGAAAATGCTTTTATCAAAATTGTCAAAAATAACTTAAAGGATAAAGAAAAATTGTTTTGTTTTTCTTAAAATTTCCAAACATTTGGGTCATCCTGTGGTTTCTAAATCAAACGTCGTTTCTCGAAAAACATGAAAGAGATTGGCAATGCGATTTCAGAAGCTAATTAAATATGATCAAATCTAAAGTGAAGGGAAACTTATGGTGTCATGTTCAAATCTGAATTTAATCGCAAAATTTATTTTACATGGTTTAACATTCCTTCTCCTTTATGCAGCGGAAATACGATGAACGGGTTTCCGCGGAATCGAGAATGTCAGATCAACGAGTGTGTTTTCCTTAGTCGGATTGAGCGAAAGGAAATCTCTTTATGGATGCACGCCGTCAGTTTTCCACAGTATTTCAATCGATGATGAAATTTCTGATAAATCCTTCCAATATCGAAGATCCCGAGGTTTCTGTGTATTTTTGCTTAATAATCACTATGATCTTTCCACTATCTATTGATAGTTTATCTATGCATCTCTACAATGTATCGATAAGTAAAAGATAGCGGAAAGTTATTGTTAAAAGTAATCTCATTCTTCAATTTTGAGTTTAAAACCACGAATTACATATACGATGTAATTACATAACTGATGTATTATCTCATTCAAATTAATCATCATAAAATTTCATATTTGAAAAGCAAATATGATACTTTATACATATATTTATCATATAATATATGCAAAGTTGAAATCTTAAATATGTAATTTTTAGAAAAGTTTTATATAACATTCCAATTTATAAATTATTATTAATATATTAAGCAGTAGTGTGTGTGTGTGTGTGTGTGTGTATTTAAAAAAAAAATGTTAAATATATTACGGAAATGCGCAGATAAAAGTCTTTAAAAAAATAAGTAGTTTCCTTTCTTCACTATATCACATAATTCTTTACCATTTACTATATCACATGATTCTACTTTATAGTAATCATGAAATGTTTTAAATTCAAGTATATTTCCTTACACAAATTCTAATTCATAAATCCGAACAATTAAACCCGAATTGCAAAAATTATGTCTTTCTTTTAATACCTCTTTGCTGCACAGCTTTTTTCGTTTGCTTATAGAGCTGTTCGTTTTCCCATTTAAGCTTACTCGTGTGACACAAAAAAAAGAGTTGGTGGAATCCCTTGTATTGAGTCGTCCCGTAGAAACGGATCTTTGTAATCCAACAGACATCTTTGATCCCGCCAAAAGCGCTTCCATCACCAACAAGTAGGACCGATCGATCGCGAAAGGAAGACTGCGAGAGTTCGCTATTTTGCACTTCGGACGAGTATGTTGTTCCATTTAGTGAGAAATGATTACTCGTTTCGGCTGCCATTTAATTAACAGACGCAACACGACTTCGCGCAATGAACACTGTGCTCTATGTCGTCGATTAATTTCCATTTCCATTGCTGACATAGTGGACGATATTTTAAAAACGAGTTAATAACTTTAATAAGTTTACAGCTTAGTTTCTCTCCAACCATAACAAAGTCGGTATATTAATCGGTATATTTATATATTTATATCACAGTTAATTTTTATTCATCAAAATTAAGCAATCAGCTTGCTAATGTTGATTAAAATTTTTTTTGAGACATCAGTTATTTTATCGACAGTTTCAATGCACAGTTTATTAATTTACGTTACAAGATCAAGAGAAGATCAATTTGAAAAATACATATAACACTAAATGCAAATTTGATTTAGCAAAATGCAAAAATCTTAGAAAAATAATTATCTTTAATTTTTTGATTTATGAATAAAAACCTGATAAATAAAAATCTAATAAATATTTTAATTTTATCTTAATATATTATTATACATAATATATTATTATACACAAGTCAAAGATTGCATATTTGTGCTTAATTTTAAATATATCTTTATGATCTTACTTAAGCTTACATTAACATATTAATGCACGCAATGCATATATACAAACAAAAGAATTTTATACATTTCAAGCATTCCACTTGAATAATTTTCAATCTCACAATATTTCAAACACTCCAATAAAAATTAAAGATGAAATAATCTTCAATTTATGTAAATTGCTTTATAGTTATATATAGTTATACTCTTCCGGATTCCCAATTTCTAACGAGTCAACATTTATTGATTTTCTACGTTATGCAATATATTATGGAAAAAGTTACATCTATACCCGCATTGCATTGGCACTCCCACCCATCAAAAGACATTGTCTGTTCATCGACCCACGAACGACAATTCAGGTAGAGCGATAATCCTCGACATGTCCGACAGTACGCTGACCCTCACTACTTGCTGTGCTATTCAATTGCATACGTGTCTTCTCAAGATGCAATTCACATTAATGTGACTATTAACTGTCACGTTTAATTAACCGTTTAACTAACCGTCTGTCATTATTGTGATATCGCGCAAATATCGTGACTTTTGTTATATTGAGAATTTTATAAAAAATAATTAACAAAAAAAATATATTGAAAGATAATCTATCAATGTGTGGCAATTATTACATTTTGCAATTTCTGTATATTTCATCGTTTTATTTAACAAGTTAAACAAACAGAAGTTTACTCATCAAAAGTCTACTCAATCACAGCTTTTTCCTATTACTGTTTGCTCTAGTAGAACAAATATGTATGCGTTTCGGTCGAACAGTAAAGCTATTGAGTGACGTGTCAGCTGCTGGTAAAGTACATGTGCTACCGATTTTCAAAGATTCTTCCTCTGTTACATCGATTCAACGAATTCACAAAAGTTACGTCGACGAGTTTCTCTATGAGAAAAAGTGACTAGTAAAAGCGGAAGACAATCAATCGAGAAATTGATCACTATCACTAAAACACATTATGAAGTTCCAACTTTCACCAATATTAATTTTAATTTTGATTCACCATTCACGTAATTAATATTGCGCGATTAATAAGATAGACAATTGAAACGATTACCGCAAACTACTAGAGTGTCTAATTGTATAATTAACGCGCAGGAAACACAAGGACGCGCGCGCGCGCGCGCGCGTCTCAAATTCCGAATGAACCCTTTGCCACCTGATCCGACGAAAATCGGAAGCGACCGCGCGATTTACTTGATGACCCAGTTCGCACTAAGACTGAACACAGCCTCCGATTACTCACCGTCACGCAGATGTTCACCAACGAAGGTGAGAAGGAGTAATTGAGAAAGCAAGATCCGTTGAGGCAAGTCGTAACACGACGTATCGTCTTTCAAACGTAAACCACACGTATTTCCGCGATCTATGAATATTTCTAGTTTCCTCGGGGTAAATCACGACGAAGAATCATAGGCGAACGAGTTCGCGTTCGTGCGAGAATCGAAGTGGAATAGCCACTTGTAGAGTCTGCGGATGACCGGGCGCGTAAACCAGACTGGCGGGTTGATAAACAGGTGAGATGTCGTCGCGTGCCTCTCTCCCTCTTCCCCTAGCCGCTCGCCTTCCACTCCTTCCACTTTCACCAGTTGCACCCTCCCGGTTTCATCCCGGCGCATCTCTCTCCCTCCCAGGTGATATCCCCTCTTCGCATGTCATCCATTTCGCTCTTGTTCAGAATTCGGGCTATCCGTCTCGTTCCGATTCCCGTTACGCGCCTTATTTTTCGCTTCCTCCCCCACAAAGGCTTTTCCATCTCCACCTTCTGTATATTTTTCTCTTTCTCGCGTCGAAGCATTGTATCACTATCTCTCTCTTATCCATTGTCTCCCCTACTTTCTTAGTCGTCTCTCTTTCTTGAAATAGCCTTGCCAGCAGTTGTCTTTCTTCCTTTTTCATCTCTTTCTTTCATTCTAGACGCCACGTCACGCGTTTCCCTTCCTGATTCACTATCTCTATTTCTCCATATCGTCTTGCTTCTTCCCTCACATTCACCTTCTCGTTTTTCCAACAGCTTTTCTCCTTCCACGTTTCTACATTCCCCTCTCTCCTACGGTATCCCTCTGGCCGTTCCACCCTCTTCAGTGACTCCCACCAGCTATTTCTCGGTGCTGCCCTACCCACCGAGGTTCGTGGCGTACTATTCCCTACCCTCGTAGGGGTACAACCGGAGGTACTTGCGTGCGCAGCACGTCCATCGATCTATTTTAGCTCACCTACGCTCCTGCCAGGCCGGGTATATACCTGCTGCCGCTTTCACACCATACCCTGCGCGCGTACGTTCCTGGATGCGTTTACACTACACATTGCCACGGAGATAAAATGAAGAGAGAAGTTAGGGAAGGGAGAGGACGGATGAAACTCTGACGAGAGACCCAGAGACCCGAATTCTCGATTCTAGGTGAAGATCAAGAGAATTCCAAAGAGACTGGTCTGGTTGTATCAATATTCAGCAAGCTTGAGTCATTTGGAAATCAACTGTTCGGGTAAAAGCTTTTTTTGTTTGTTTTGAAAATTAATATTAATTTTTTTTATACTGTTATACTTTTTCTTCTCAAAATTGTTATTTCTCGAATCAATATGTATAATATATGTTAAAAAAATATTTATTGATAATTTATTAAAGATTGATATATTTCTATGATATAATCTCAAAGATTATTAAACATTATCGATACTCTATATATATTAATTATACATTATCTGAATGTATTTCAAGAAATGCATTTTACAGACACTAAAATGTTAGATTTTGATCGCGTTTACTCCAGTTAAAAGATTTTTCTAAGAAATATTTTAGAAAATATGACCTCAATTTTGATGAATTCCATAAATCTAGAGTCGATGTTTGTTCAGCAGAAGGGAAGCTTCATTAAAGTAATGTCAGATATTCCGATATCTTTTGCGTAATATAAACAGAGAGAAAGGGACAAAGTGATAAAATTTAGATGATCTACCTGGAGTAAAATGTAATTTTATTTAATTTGTAAAAACGAATATGTGCCACTACGAATAATTAAAAAATTAAAAATAATTTAAGAAATGTAAAATTTAAATATAAATTTAATCTAAATAAATAATTTAAAATTTAAAAATAATTATTTTTGTGTAATTTTAAACAAAAATTAACTTTTTTATGGTAATTTCTATTCGATAACAAAATGATGTATGTCACATTATTCGCAATACACATATGTTTCACATATTTTGGAGTATATCACAGTACATACAGAAATAAGTTTTTATTGCATAATTTCCAATATCGTTATTATTAAGTTCCCAGAATCATATTTCAGTTTTTGAGTTTTTTTATCGAATTTTTTAATATTGGCATTATTATTAAATTCGCCTTAAAACATCTTACATATAGACGAGACGATAATTATATTAGCACCACACGTAGAACGTGATCTCTAGTTAATACAGAGACCGTCTGCTTGTAGTAGACCCTAGTGCAATGCACGTTATTCTCGTGATTATAATTTTCATGGGAATCACTGATAACACAAATGTAGCTAGTATATATTTTATATTTATTCATGATAATCACATTCAAAATAAATATCTTATTCAACAAAATTTTATATAAATTATACAAAAAAATCCCTGAATGTTAATTTTTATTCAAAAATATATAAAAAATAAGTTTTGTATAATTTCAATTATTTTAATTTATAAGAAGTATATGAAATTGCTCTTTTTTATTAGCGATAATGGCTATTACAATTTGGGGCATATTTTTCGATATTTTTCGATTTTCTGAATTCTATGAAACTTGCCGAAAATAACCTATTTTATAACAGACTTGTAAATTTATCACAGTTTTATCAATTTAATTTTCATAGAATGGAGATTCATAGATTTTCAGATGAGCCGTGTATTTTTGGTAAATAAATGTACTGATTAAACAACTGAATTTTTGGTCGATTGTTTTTAGAAAAGACTAAATGTGCAAAATAGGTCATACTTTTTTATTTGTTATCGAGAGATTTCTCTCGCAAGAGAAGATTTCATTGTGTTCGCGAGATTTTATATGAAATGCTCAAATGATTTGGTCAAATTTGCAAACCGAGATGCAAATCGTTATTGAAATTGTTTTTATCTTTACCAAACAAAAACGCTTTATAATCTAAGCCAAAAGAATCGAAAGTAAGCTGATTTGAAAATTAATTTCGATTTATGAACCACAATTATATTCTGATCGAAACCTAATAAGTATATTACGCTTTTAAAATATCTAAACTTTCTAAATACTTTAATATAAATATTTAATATTTATTTAAAAAATCATTGATTTAGTATCTAGTCATAAATTGATAAAACAAGCAAACAAAATGAAATCTATGCAAATTATTGTATATTTGTTCAATTAATGTTATTTGAGGTAACAAATATTAAATATGGATATTACATTCAATATTAATCAAATTTGTTTTTTATTTGAGCAAATATATGTAAATATCTTTAAAAAATTAAGAGGGCAAAACATTTTATCTATTAAAGAAAAATTTTAAAATTTTCTGTAAGTGATAATGATTACTGTTAATTCGAATAATTCCAATTGTTTGGAACATTTAGTCTGAAAACTTTAAAAAAAAAATGAAAAATTCTTTTTCTAAAATTATATTTGAAGTGAATATACTACAAATTACAAAAATAAAAAATATTGGAAGCAGAAAAAATTTGAAGAAAAAAAATATTTTTATAATATTGTAAGTATTGTTATAATTTGTAACTTTAAAGATCTGTAATTAATTAATGTCTGTAATTTGTCTTAAATTAAAAACATCAAATAAAATGCATTATACTCTGAAATCAAATTCTCTCGACAATATAATTTTATGTCATTGTACATATTGCTATATATTTATAGGATTGACACGCATGCTAGTTAATAGAACCACTGGTCTCTACGATGTGATAATGAAATCGGATTATCGATTTTGTTCCCGCAGCAAATAGTCGTAAATGGCATTGATAGACGGCGCTATGAGGGCGTGCAGGATAATAACTAGCATAGCGCCTAATGGAAAATTTTCATTAACTATCTGATCCGCAAAGTCACGATCTGAAATCGCCATAAATACATATACATATTATCGCCTTTTATCATTAATGTTACTAATATTATTAACAGAATATTTAATTGTATGTACAATATATTTTGTTAACTCATCGATAAAAAATCGTTTTTTTTTTACAATATGATATTAATCAATACATTTTACCTTTTTTATTATTACCTTTTTTTATTATAATCTATTTTAAAATTCTAATGACGAATGTATAAATGTTTTAATATTAGCTTTCTTGTTATATTTCTGTATAACGCATTTAAACTTACTGAACAAAATTTTACTAATAAAAGATAATAATAAAATGAAAAAATTTCTATATATTAAAAAGTCTTTTTATTAAATTTGTTTTTATCATAAGATTAAGATTTTATATACTTTGTATCAATTTTTGATTCTCCCAATTTCTGACTTGAAAACCAGCGAAAAAATACGAATTTTTCAATTTACAACAAAGTCGAAAAAGATACTTGAGATTGATAGTGTCACATCGTGCATCTTAAAGAAAAGAAATCTGATTTCTCAACAATGACTTTCAAAGTCAAACTAGCACTACGAAGTTCTGTATGCTATCTTTAAATTCTGAAACTTTTCTGTCAATTGTTTTAATACGCGATATTAAAATTGTTCCATTCTATTTCTGCTACGTTTTGTAGTACTATCACAGTACACAATATCATCAATTGTGTTAAAATTAAAATAACTGTAACTTTAATTTTAAAACATTAGATAAATTTCTATTTAATTAAAAAATTAAATAACTAAATCATTTATTATTTAAATAATTAATTTTTTTAGTTTATTTCTGTTATTAACCATTATATGTTGATTACCTTTCTAAAAAGTTTAATTTAGGACATAATATATTTTTTTTCCTTTGTTCTCTTTCTCTATACTTTCTTTTCTTTGTTTTTTTTATCTCTTGCTCGCCGAAAGCGATACTTTAAGTCGCAACTGCATTTAAAAAGAATTCCGATCGTTAATATCGTGCGATTAAAGCCGCGCGGTTTCTGGAAAATTTTCCTTCCGCGTAATATCTTCCCATCTTACAAGCCGAAGTTTCCAGGTCGAGAGATGCTCAGCCATTAATGGCGATTGTGGCACGGTGGAGACGAATAAGAGACAGCAGACGACACTCGTCGACAATTCGAAGGAATTCTCACAATCTTTCTTGTCGACAATCTATTTCATTCCGTTCCGCTTGTTACGATGCACCGATGAACCTCCTGCGCGTCACTATAATGTAACATGCAGACTCATTGCTGCGAAATAAATTTGCAAAATTATTGCGAGATCAATCATCGATCTGTTTATACAATTGATAAATCTTGGTTTGAAATTAGATAATTATATTAATCTTAATATAACAACTAGAATTTTAATCTATACTAATACACATTTATGCATATAGCATGCACATGACTTAAATAGAAATGCATTTATATTATATTGTTTAAATTTAAGAAATACACATTCATAAATATCGACGGATTAACAAATTTAGCGATTATGAGATTTATGATTTTTATAGATTTAAAAGTTTATAAAAAATCTATAGTCATAAATCTAAAAATTTGTACATTAAAATATCTCTTTCAGAATAATAATTATAACGATAATTAATTATTAACTGTTTACTGAAGTTGGTCAGTAATCATAATTCAATTTACAATTTAAAATTTACAATCACATGTATCACATGTATAACATGTATAACTGGAAATTTTGTATGTATGTATAATACCGCAATAAAGGTTATAATATATATTTGATATATTTTAAATCCGATTTTAAAGATAGATATAATCTTTCTCTTTTATAAAACTAAAATTTTCTTATTGTAACAATTTCTGCGAATATTTATTTATGCTGTTTCATTCTGTTTGTGTTGGTCATACATACCGAATAACAAAATGGCAAATTACTTTTATCAGTAATGTATAAAAATTTCGTAGAACGTGCAATTTTCCAATTTCAACCAGAATGCAGCTTTGACATTTTCCATGGTGCAACGCGTGTTCTATGTACAGTACG